AAAGAAAGAAAGAAAGAAAGAAAGAAAGAAAGAAAGAAAGAAAGAAAAGCAGGGAGGAAAGGAGGGAAGAAAGGAATGACTGGGAGGGAGGGAAGGAAGGAGGGAGGGAGGAAGGAAGGAAGGGTTATCATGGTATAGTGGTTAGAATGCAGTATTGCAGGCTAACTCACTGTCAGGAGTTTGATCCTAATTGGTTCAATGTCAACTCAGCCTTCCGTCCTTCTGAGGTCAGTAAAATGAGCACCCAGATTGTTTGAGGGCAAGATGCTGACTCTGTAACCCACTTAGAGAGGGTTGTAAAAGCACCGTGAAGTAGTATATAAGTCCAAGTGCTAGTGCTATTCCTCCGGATGTTTGAGCGCAAAATGATTGAATTTGAAAACAAAGCAAAACATAGACACATCAGCCAAGCTTCCATCCTACATTAATGCATGGGAAAGAAATAGCAAGAGGTGAATGTAGAGGTTGAGAAATAAATCTGGTAATTTTTTTTTTAGAAGAGTCTAGGAAATAAATGAGGCCCAAAACACGGAGAGGTTCTTCTTTATGAATGTAGATCAGGGGGAAAAAAAATGTTCAACCGCTTTTGTAGCTATTTTCATTTGGAGAGTGAGGGAAAGAGTACCTATTGAGTTCAGCTTCCAAACTGCATAATTCATAGGTCTATGAAACTGGTTCAGTCTTCACGTTCAGCAAAGGTTCTGCCTAAAATTACAGATGCTGTTCACTGATTTTGTAAGTGGAATGCCACCTGTTTGAATCCTTTCTTTTTCTTTGTACTCTCTCTCTCTCTCTCTCTCTCTCTCTCTCTCTGTCTCTCTCTGTCTGTCTGTCTGTGTGTGTGTGTGTGTGTGTGTGTGTGAGAGAGAGAGAATATATAGGTAGAGAGAACACATTTCCATCATAAGCTCATCTGCATTTAGATGGATACTTAAGCAGTATAGTTACTAATTTTCTTTTTTCTTTTTCCTTTTGATTTAACAAACCTGGTCTGCCTGAATGGTTAGCTTCTCGTCAGTCATGTCCCAATGGTTACGCTAGAGTTGGATGTGACAAAGGAACCAGAGAGGGTTTGGTGAACTGGTGTAATAATTTTTATTATATTTATTAAAAAGCCTTCTTTGAAACATTGGAAAAAGCAAAAGAGAGCATTGTCAGTTTCAGAAAAGGCAAGCACAGCCGCACACCTGTGTGTGTTTAGGATTCACCTGTGGAGGTGGTTGGCAGCATTGATGAGTAGGCTGGCTTGGTTGCTCAACAGCGAGACCCTGCTGAAGTGAGCCAGCAGTGTCATATGAAAAGCAAGGGTCTTCAAACTTGGCAAGTTTAAGACTTATGGACTTCAACTTCCAGAATTCCTGAGCTAACATGACCGGAGGAGAAATTCTGGGAGTTGAAGTCCACAAGTCTTAAAGCTGTCAAGTTTGAAGACCCTTGCTATAGAGGGACAATCGAGAGCATCCTGTCATATCGCATTACAGTCTGGTTTGGAAGCATTGCTGCTTCCGACAGGAAGGTGGTGTAGAGAGTGGTGAGGACAGCAGAAAAGATTATTGGAAGTTCACTTCCTTGTATCCATGACGTGGCATATAAGCGACGCTTAAGCAGAGTCCCAGGATTGTCTGGGATGCTACACATTTGAAGAACGGTTGCTGGAATTGGGTATGTTTGAGTTTAATGAAAAGAAGGACTAGGAGTGACATGATAGGAGTCTTCTAGTATCTCAGGGGCTGCCACAAAGAAGAGGGAGATAACCTATTCTCCAAAGCACCTGAGGGCAGGACAAGAAGCGATGGGTGGAAACTAACCATGGAGAGAAGCAACCTAGAAGAAATTCCTGACAGTTAGAACAATTAACCAATGGAACAACATGCCTCTGGAGCAGAGGTGTTATTCAGCAGGTTCTCACCAGTTCTGGAGAACCGGTAGAGGAAATTCTGAGTAGTTCAGAGAACAAGCAAATACCATCTCTGACTGGAGATTTTACAGTATCCTTCCCCTGCCACTCCCACCAAGCCACGCCCAAAGAACCAATAGTAAAAATATTTGACTGCTCTAGAGGTTGTGAATTCTCCAATACTGGAATTTTTAAGAAGAGATTGGACAACCATTTGTCTGAAATGGTATAGGTTTCCTGCCTGAGCAGGAGGTTGGACTGGAAGACCTCTAAGGTCCCATCCAACTCTGTTATGCTATTCTGTTCTGTTCTGTTTTGTTCTACTCGACTCAACTCTACTCTACTCTACTCCATTCCATCCCATCCCATCCTATCCTCTTCATGACCTGTTTTCCTTGTTACCTTTGGGAGGGGGCTACATGATATCCAAAGCAGGATATCCAGATTTTGCCACCATTTTGTTCCATGCACTTTCAACCTTGTGAATTCTCAAGCTTCGTCTTTCCACTACGTATTCAAGATGGACAGTGATTAATATACCGGTATATATGTTTTGATATGTTAGGGTGTATGTATGTATGTATGTATGTATGTATGTATGTATGTATGTATGTATATAGCTTGTGTATATGTGTGTCATGTATGTGTACACTTTTGAGAGCAGGCAACAGAATTTCATTTTTAATGTGTGCCAGTGTGCCCACAGTGAAAAAAAAAACAATAGAAGTTATCATATCTTATCTGATTTGCAATGGGAAAAGAACATGTGTGGTTGTTGGGCTATGCTGGCATTGACGGTGTGGATGATGCAAACTACATTCTGTATTTCTTAGAGTCTTTGAAAGAAGCAATTCTTAACTGATTTACAATACCCCGGGAGCTGATTTTGTGGTGGTCTCCTTTCCCTCCTCTAGTCCTCTGCTTAAAACATGTCTCTTCTGATATAGATGCTTGGGAAGGCTTGTTTGATTGTTTGGGTATTGTGAAGGTGAACACGCAGGAATGGTTGGTAACGTATGTTATATATTATGGTTTTAATCAGTGGTGGTATTCTACTGGTTCAGCCCGGTTCAAGCAAACCAGTGGTTAAAAAAAATACAGTTCAGCCAAACTGGTAGTAAAAAAACAGCTACAGGTTCGGCCGAACTGGTATTTCCTTTTTTTCCTCCCAATGATCGGCTGTTCCGACAATCAGCTGTGCCAGGATCTCCCTCGCTGCCCACCTAGCCACACCCACCTAGCCATGCCCACAGAACCGGTAGTAAAAAATATTTGCATCCCACCCCTGGTTTGAATGTTAGGATTAGTCTGACCTATCCAGACATATTAAAATATAAAACATTGAATAACAGAGTTGAACAAAAAACCCTGGAGGTCTTCTAAGCCAACCCCATGCTCAGTCAGGAGAACTTACATTATACTGGACCAACGGTTGTCCAATGTCTTCATCAAAACCTCCGGTAATGGAGCACCCACAAACTTCTAGAGGCAAGTTGTTCCACTGATTAATTAAACAGTAACGGAATTAATTAATTCTAGCTTGGCTCTCTCCTTGACAAGTTTCCATCTCTTGCTCCTTGTCCTGACCTCAGATACTTTGGAGAATAGGTTAACTCCCTCTTTTTGGCGGGGGGCAGCCCTTCAAACATTGGAAGACGGCTATCACCTCAACTCAAGTCCTTCTCCTCGTTAGGCTAGAGGCATAACCACTTCCTACAATCATTCATCGTATGGTTTAGCCTTTGACAACAACGGGGTGACCTTAAACCAACTTCTGCCTCTCTCTAAGCCCAAGCTATTTTACAAGAAGTCCTTGACTTGTGACCCGTTGCTTAGCCACTGTTCAAAATTGCAACACATTTAAAAAAAAAAAACAACTGAATGGATGATGAAGAGAAGAGGGTGGGCCTCTAGTTGGCAGTGAAGCTGCCTGTTCCCATTTTCTCCTTTCTAAATCTCAGAAGGAAGAAAGAAATCCACTCCCCTTTTCAGTTTCCCCCTTTTCATGCTCCGAATCGCTCACAATGCCAGAGAAGAGCTGGCTGGCTGGCTGGCTGGCTGGCTGGCTTGGGTAATTCCATGGCCTGATGGATTCCCTTTCTCTATGCCAGGAGCAGGAAAAGGAGGAGGAGAAGGAAGAGAGGGGGAGGGGGAAGGAGGAGGAGAGTGAGGAACAGGAGAAGGAAGGAGGAAGAGGAGGAGGAAAGGAGGAGAAGAAGGGGAGGTAGAAGGGGAGGAGGAGGAAGAGGAGGAGAAGGGGGAGGAAAGGGAGGAGAAAAAGGGAGGCAGAAGAGGAAGAGGAGGAGGAAGGGAGGAAGTAGAGGAACGAAGGAGGGAGGGAGGAGGAGGAAGAAGGGAAGGTGGAGGAGGAAAGGAAGGAGGAAGGGAGGAAGTGGAG